CATTTACTAATTACCAGTTAAAGTTCAAATCGAGTCCATTAATTCCATGTTAATTTCATGAGTGTTTAAAATTGATAAGCCTATTTATAAGGTGGGGACTAAGCATATTTTCAGAGGATTTTGTCCCGTCAAACAAAAAATATTTCTATACTTTTAATTAAAGCAAGCACCGACAAAAAAAAAAACCCACCCTTCTTTTAGTATTTTGGGTGGTAAATTGATAAAAAAAAAAATAATACTAAAAGATGGGTGATCCAATAGTTAGACCTGTCTTTTGTTAGTTTAAAAGTCTCTGATTCAATTCTTTTTTCACTCTATAAAGACTAGCTATCTTTATACTTTTAGAGACATATTTTAAATCAGAATCATGGTAACCAACCACTAAACTCGAAGAAATAATATGAAAATAAGATTGGACAGCTGTAACCAAAAAACAAAACAGCTTGTAATTCAAGCATTTGGTGAGCCTGACAGTTTGTGCCCACACTTATCGATTAAATTATTCCCAGGGAGCATCTCAATAATGCAAACCTACCAACTGAGCACCACATGCCAGCCATGACTATTCTCAGACTAAGCATATCCCAAAGGGATAACTACTAGAGTAGACTACATAATTTCATGTATAAATAAGGAGTAATATTATATAAAATTAAAAATTAGACTTAATAATTTCAACTATTTNTATAAAATTAAAAATTAGACTTAATAATTTCAACTATTTCAACTATTGAACAGACAGTAAGTCCTAATAAATACTGAAACTTACAGTGAAATCAATTGTTGTAATTATCAAGTCTAATTTTTAAATTTACTTTTTAACTCCATATAACATTGCTCATAAATAAGAATGCTTCAAGCCCCACAGCAAATAACACATCGTTTGAAAACAGTAGCGATGATTCTCAGATCATCCTCTTTCTTGATTCAAACCCTAGTCCTACGGTTTTTGATTCCCGGAACTCGACACAAGCCAGAAATATCACGCCCTAAATATAANCTAGTCCTATGGTTTTTGATTCCCGGAACTCGACACAAGCCAGAAATATCACGCCCTAAATATAACACAAATCCAAAATGATACGACTCTTTAAGTGTGACTCAACACAATCCAGAAGACACCCATATTAGAGAACGCCAAGGATGCAAATGGCCGAGATAGTCAAAGGTTAACTGGATGCTTTTGAACATCTTAGACCCCATCAAAGTGGCATGAAGGTAGCTGCCTCCAAACCTGCACAGCAGGAATACTGAGAACAGCTAACGAAAAATCAAGCTAACAGCCAACTTGGTTTTGAGTACACATGCAAGAAAATTTTTCAACAAGCAAAACAATTTACATACTAAAATATTCCTGTATAAGCAGGAATTCACCACATTGCAGTTATATACTCCCCGAGAAAGGGTTTTATCATTTTCAGATTAGACATGACATGAAAGCATGAATTACAAAAAGAAAAACACACTAACGATCACTAATGCGTCTACCCATGATTGGCCGTCCAGTGCCAACATCTACTGATCAAAACTCAACCTTCAACAACCACCTGGGTAACATGCTTTGCAACCCTTCTCCCTCTTGTGCTGGATGGATGGCAACAATCATGTGTAAACAANTTAGAGGCTGATCTGTGATCATAACAACGGTGTGACTCTAAAAATAGTGTCGTAAATGCCTAACTGTTGTGATGAGGGCAAGTGCTAGCTTCTCTAGCCCCAAATACCTGGTTTCTGCTCTTCAGTAGGCTCTACTCACATAATAGACGGGCTTTTACACTTCATCATTGTTCCTAACGAGGACGAAGCTTACTGCGAGGGAGAAACAGTAAGGTATAGATATAATATTTCTCCTGATGCAACATGTGACAAGAGATGAGGCTTAGCCAAATAGGCTTTGCGCCTTTTAAAGGTCTCCTTTGCCTCAGGTCCCCACTCGAAAGCCTTTCGGACAATCTTGAAGAAAGGCAAGCATTTGTCCGCAGACTTGAAAACAAACTTGTTGAGTGCTGCAATCCTCCCATTGAGGCGCTGGAGCTCCTTGGTTGAGGAAGGCGACTTCATATCTAAGATGACCTTGATCTTGTCCGGGTTCGCCTCAATTCCCCTTTGATTAACCATAAAACCAAGGAATTTTCCTGACCCAACACCAAAGGGGCACTTCTTTGGATTCAGCTTTATGCGGTACATCTTGAGAACATTGAAAGTTTCTTGGAGGTGGACGATATGGCCTGTTGCTGCGAGACTCTTTACCAACATGTCGTCCACATACACCTCTATTATTTTTCTGATTTGACTGGAACATTTTGTTCACCAGTCGTTGATAAGTTGCTCCANAACATGTCGTCCACATACACCTCTATTATTTTTCTGATTTGACTGGAACATTTTGTTCACCAGTCGTTGATAAGTTGCTCCAGCATTCTTCAATCTGAAGGGCATGACCCTATAGTAATAGGTATCCTTTGGAGTGATAAATGATGTCTTCTCTTGATCTGGAGGGTGCATACTGATCTGGTTATATCTATAATATGGATTCAGAAATGTGAGCAATTCATGTCCTGCAGTGACGTCAATGAGGAGGTTAATTCATGGTTGTGGGTAACTATCTTTCAGACANAAAAGCAAAAAGTTTCAGAGAAATGAATTCATACCCACAGAAACCAGAGACTTGAATAACTGCAAAAAGCAAAAGTGTGACATGGAAAAGCAGCTCAGAAACAAGCATTGCCAAAATAATGAAATGTACCCCCAGTTTTAGTCCCCCATTAATGGGATTTTGGAGGGGTGGACTGGATACAAACCCTAAACTTCAGCACTATTTGCACGAAGTAGCCCTTATCAAATATACAACCTCAAAGTTATTGGGGCAAACTTAGGATGACAAACTAAATGCATGTGTATTTTCAATTCTCCCCAATATGCACGACTCAAAGCACAAGGGCTGCCTAATTGAACCTTATAAACCTCAACAAAATTGCTAGATTTTTTGGGTCTTGGTATCAAAATGTTCATCATAAAATAATTCAAGAGAGGAAGGGGCATGGGGTGGACTACCACTTTTTTCTTAAAAGTGAATCTTGTTTCCTAAAATTCTTCGAATTCACATGTGAAAAATTCTCAAAGTGATAGAGCATACTTTTCTAGGTAGCTTTCCAGTTGACATAGTAAGGAAAGATAACTCAAGAATGAGAGTCCGAAATGCACACATGCAAGAGCAAATGGTGAAGTGGAAGTGCCATTCAAGGAAAAGGGAATGTTTTCTGTTCTGATAATTTGTAATCGTCCCCCCCTGTAGCAATATATGAAATACTCACCTAGGCCGATGGCATCAGAACCCTTCATGATCCGCAGTCTCTTGCATGTACCAATAAACATCCTGCCATGCGTGAAAGTAGGAATTAGGTAGCACGTACTCTGTGCAACTTATTAAAAACGCTTTGGACAACTTTAATTTGTCGAATTTGTAGATGCCTAGGTTATTGATGCAAATTTCAGTCCACTAATAGATAAATTATGAGCAGCAGCAATGTTTTACTTCATGACCAAAGTTCTATGTGTTTCAGTGGAAGCAAAAAGGAAAAAATGAAGAAAATAATGTGTTCTAGTTGATTGATATTAAACTACTGAATGGCACTTTAGATCATCAGTAATAGAGCTATAATAATATGGACACATCTAAGAACTGAAATGGTGCATCAGGCTATTGCCCAGAAAACTCATCCAAGAAAAGGGGAAGCTCATTTCATCAATTGAGGAGGTGGAAAATGTTAAAAACTGAGTACCAATGCAAGTATAAGCCGCAAGAATAACAGTAAATTGAATCTCCTGCCATAAATAAACCCCTTACTATCCACGATTGGCAAGTCAGACAAGTGTTGACAAGCCATGTGTAACACCTTTTAGATTACTTCGGAAAGTGTGTCTGTGTCCTTAAAAAATGCATAAAACCACAATGTTCAGTGCCTTTTAAGAAGGTTAGCTATAATGTTGTCTTATTGTTCATCAATGTCTTACATTCTGCACATACAACTTGAAAATTGATACATATATATCTGCTAATGGTAGAACCCACAATTACACAAACATAATTACATCCCGATGCCTTGAGATATTTCTGTATTGAATACCTAGTTAGTGCTAAAATATGAAATTCATGACAATATTTAAAGATCATGAAACTGCAAATCTAAGAAGCCATGGTGGAATATTAAATTCATGCATACTAACAAAAATGCCACTGTCTGTTCATGCTCTTGGATGGGGAGCCTGGACAGCAATGGTGATGGCCAAAATGAATATTTACTGTGCACATCATTAAACAAAATAACCTACACGACTTTCAGTGTCTTTCCATGGTTAACAAGTAGCAACATGCTAGCTGATTGGAACCTCAACGAAAATATGAAGTATAACGTTTTAAGCCAATATAGGAAACTCGTGGGTTCTCCCTGACACCAGACATCATTAATGGATCAGTAACGAACTAACAAGATATAGTCTAGTTGTTATCTTATCGCACCAGTTTTAACTGTTACACTTTGCCATCAAACAGCTGCAGGATCGAAATAAAACATAATGTGCTTATAACATCTCCTGATCTCCATGGCAAGAGTGTGCCATGGAGATGCTATTAAGTAGGATTAATCTAGGAAGTAGATGTTGCTTAGTTACCATTCTTTTCCACGCATGTTTATTTTTCTGAATTTAATAAACATTCATGCACTCCAATCTTACATTCCCCAAGAACAAAATCAGTGCTCCTATTGGCCCCCTAACTGGCTGCTTCCTAAAAGAAACACTCGTAGTAACCATCAGGCAGCACTCCAAAACTACCCACTCTGCTGTATTCATCTCATTTGTTTTATGCACTGTCACATATCAAAATCATCCTAGAAGAACAGAAATTGTAACTTCTTGTTTATAGAGCTAATCTATCATTAAAAAATAAATGACATCAAAAGGATAGAAAAATCAACACAACAAACGTAGAGGATCAGAGCTTACTCCCAAGGAACATCACCAACAAGCATCCAGTCACCATCTTTATCCTCATAAGTAAGGACATACTCAGATCCATGGAGCAAATCCTTCAGCTTGCTCTCACTCAGCATCTCCCTGCCTGGAGCTCCATGAGACCCATACTGACCTGACATCATACCAAAATAGCCGTAACAAAAACCATCTTTGACATGCAAAAGACAAGTTCAATGTTCATTACACAATGCTTGAATTGTTTGCTATGATTGTTGTACCAATTGAAACTTAAAACAGGTTACCTATGGTAAAGCAGCTAAACATCTTCTCAANCCAAAGACAAGTTCAATGTTCATTACACAATGCTTGAATTGTTTGCTATGATTGTTGGACCAATTGAAACTTAAAACAGGTTACCTATGGTAAAGCAGCTAAACATCTTCTCAAGGGAAGAAGAGAGCTCCTGATATGCGGAGTAAGCTCTCAAGTCCACTTTTCTTAGATAAGGAGCACCATCCATGCTGACCTTGATAAACAATGCGCCAGGTCCTGCTTTTCCATCAACTTCCTCGGTGTTCTTTGGACTAGAAGTCAGTTTATTCTTCCTAAACGATCTAATGGGTGGCCAACCCACAACCTGTGACCTGCCATGAATGGAAGATCAGAAAGAATCCTCAACATTAACTGCAAACGTTCTCAACATGCCCCACTTTTAAGTCATCTGCACTTACTTTGTAGCAGGTGCACTGCTGTTGTTATTTTCAGCTCCGACACAGTTTGTACTGGTCTCATTCGCAGGGCGAGATCTCTCCTGAGCTGTGTTTTGGGGAATCATCTCTTTCAGTTTACCTGGTTGAGTTGCAGGGTTTTCTTTCACGGAACCTGATTTCACAATAGAGTTTAGAGAAGCCCTGGGTGAGAGCATCACATTTACTTCCGAACTGACAAGAAATGAACGCTGTAACAAATTAAACAGATTCTGAATCAGACTTATTAGAAGAAATCATTCAACTTCATCATTAAGCATGAGCTTTTCACCTCTGAGAATCCATCCATAACATCTGAGAAGCCCCTTTTGTTGCCTGAGACAACTGCCTTTTGCGACAAGAAGTAATTACCTTCCTTTGAAGGATGTAACGGAAAGAGTGACTTCTCATCAAGTTTTGCCAAGCCTAGCAAGGAAAGCTCCGAATCCCTCTCAGGAGACTGGGATCCAGGAAGCCCAAGCCTCAGTTCGGTGGCCTCCAAATTCAGACAGCTGTTATTGTCTCCTGATGTGGTGGAGATTGTCGAGCTGTCCACAGAAGAACAATCAGACAACCCCATGTAGTTCCGCTCTTTCAGTTCTGGGCTGTTACGACATATACTGTCCAAGGAAGCCGAAGAAGCCAAAAAAGTCACATTGCTCTGGCCTTCTTCCTCCCCAACACCAAGCAGTGGAGGAGACATAACCATTCCAAACCAAAACTCTCTTTTGTCTTTTCCCAAACCTGCTTAATTTAGGGAAATTGAAATAAAATAAGGACCTTTCAATCTGAAGATTCAAGCAAATAGCCAAAAACAAAAACAACAAAATAAAAACCAGATTCCTTTTAATGAAGGCCAAAAAGAGAGAGCCAACACATTGAACAAGAGCTGGCCACAGTTTTTAGCAAACCATCCAATGAATTTCTTTCAAATGATGATCTGGGAATTCCCATTTTAAAAAATAACATTTCTTCCATCGTAAAACAGTCCAAAAATACAATAGTTTTAGAGTACACAAATCCAAACTCTGAAAATATTGCAAAAGTAGCATAGAACACCACCAAGTATTTAACCTTGCCAAAATCTTTCAGTTCACAGGCGGTAAAATTTATGGATAAAGTTAGACAGAGTAAGCCAAATCCTTTGCCCTTGCAACTATTAAGGAACTGAAAATTGCCAAAGAAATTACCCAGCCATTTTTTCCAAAATTTTTCATAAAGAAAAAAACAATAATCACCACATGGAGATCCACATCAAACTATCAATTATCAAATAACATATATCACAGTTTGAGCACATAATCGCTTGAACATGGAGCTAGGGACCAAACTTCTAATGTATACCTCCAAAAATTAGATGTCTTAACTCAATGATCAAGTGAAAGACTCTGACTCAACATTTTCCAACCAAATAGACTAGAAATATTCAAATAGATACATATAACAAGCAAAAACTAAGAAACAGACATGCATAGAATATATACGGTCTACTTAGGAGATTTAGATCTCTAAAATATGCACATATTAGAGCAAATTTCAAGAAACAACTAGAAATGCATTCAAATAACAAGGAGATAAACAAAAAAAATTGAAGAAATTAAACACCGAGCTAGAATAGCTGAATCCAAAAGCCTACAATAATAAATCACCAGACTACAAAACATCAAAGAAAACACAGCATGAACACGGACAAACATGCAGAGAGAAGTTTTTTTCGAAAATGAACCTCAGAGTAAGAGACTAAACCTGAAGAAACCACTGAATCAGTTTTGATTACGAGAGATAAAGAGAGCGAAGACGATGACGATGACGACGACGACGACGAAGTAAGCGTTTTGATTTGCAGTGAAAATTTCAGAGAGAGAGAGAGAAGGCTAAGGACCCTCCATTTGGCAAAAAGCTACAAAAGCTTATTTGCTCTCCGATGTGAAACTCAATTCTTATTTAAAATGAGTAATACTATATTAATCAAATTTTAAGATTAAATTTAAAGTCAAAGGTAATTGATTATTTTGAATTTTTATTGGGACTCAAATGACATGACATCAATGAAAGAATCCTAAATCAACTACCATATTATTTAGACTCTAAATTTGATCTCAAAATTTGATCATTGTAACATTTCTCATTTAAAATACAATAACCACTTCTACATAAGCTTGCAAGGGAAAAAAGAAAAAAAAAACAATTTTCTTTTTACTTACGTTTGTATTTTTTTTAGACATTATTAATTATTATAAAAAGGTGGACGATTAGGATCGAATCCATAATTTTAATATTTAATTGCGGAGCCATAGTTATTAAGTCAATCATTAACCTCGCATCTATAATTATTTTTTTTTGTTTTTTTGAACTTCTATACTTCTATTAGTTAAAAACAAAAAATTTGTTTCAAAGTTATTTAGAATTGTCCATTCTTGTGGATAGGATTAATAATCTAAACTATTCAAGTTCGACTCGTTTAAAAAAAATGTCAAATTTAGTTCGCTTTAAAANAGAAGGCTAAGGACCCTCCATTTGGCAAAAAGCTACAAAGGCTTATTTGCTCTCCGATGTGAAACTCAATTCTTATTTAAAATCAGTAATACTATATTAATCAAATTTTAAGATTAAATTTAAAGTCAAAGGTAACTGATTATTTGGAGTTTTTATTGGGACTCAAATGACATGACACCAATGAAAGAATCCTAAACCAACTACCATATCATTTAGACTCTAAATTTGATCCCAAAATTTAATCATTGTAGCATTTCTCATTTAAAATACAATAACCACTTTTACAAAAGCTTGCAAGGGAAAAAAGAAAAAAAAACAATCTTCTTTTTACTTACATTTGTATTTTTTTTAGACGTTATTAATTATTATAAAAAGGTGGACGATCAGGATCGAATCCATAATTTTAATGTTTAATTGCGGAGCCATAGTTATTAAGTCAATCATTAACCTCGCATCTATAATTTTTTTTTTTTGCTTTTTTTTAACTTCTATACTTCTATTAGTTAAAAACAAAAAAATTGTTTCAAAGTTATTTAGAATTGTCCATTCTTGTGGATAGGATTAATAATCGAAACTATTCAAGTTCGACTCGTTTAAAAAAAATGTCAAATTTAGTTCGCTTTAAAACACGAAACGAACTCGAATCGAATCTTATCCGAACTGAGTTCAATCTAAACCCAAATAACACAGCCTAATTATTGGATCTACTTGTGGGAAGATAAGATGCTAATGACCAGTGAATTGATTAGATAGTTGAGTGGAGGCAACAATTTTATTTATTGTTCAAAAGGAATTCAAACCCTCATAAAGTTTAAAGTACGAGGATAAGCATGTGATTGTAATATCAAAAGAGTAGCAGTCTTATCCTATGTAATTAGAGATATTTTGTCACTCGAATTCATTACGACTAAGTAAGAGTTAATCAAACACCAACACCCCCACCATATCTTTTTGTTTTTTCTCGTGAAGTAACATCCTTCTCATCTTATTGTCATAAATAGTACTAAGTTAATTGATTCTTGAGACGTTTTTGAGTTTTTTAATTGGGTAGATATCGTAATGGGCAAAATCCAAATAAGATCACTAGTACTTGAGTTATGCTGAGCATACTCAAATTCGAAAACTCTATATCAATACCCTTAGAGATTTGGTTCATTTGAAATTAATTTTTTTGGGCGTTAAAAGATGAAATGAAAAATCAGAATTAAAAAAACTCTTGAAATTATTGGGAGAGTTTCTAAAAAAAATGATTTTTCCTTAAAAGTCCTTGGATAAATATCATTTTTCAGTTTATTTTTGATGTTGATAAAAGTTGTTTTTATCATAAAAATTGATAAAAAATTCACTCAATAAGCTCAAATTCAAACGCACTAGACTTCTTTTTCTTTAAATCATCCAAAAAGACTAAAGTTTTCGGTCATTTCCAAACAGATTCAATGTTAAAATGATAATAGATGTCTGATGCAATTACGTGGATGATAAAGTAGTATGTCACGCATACTTTGCCTCAAAACTGAAACTATAAGAATATCATTCAACACGGCACAAACACATCAGTTAGGAATAATGGCTTTAACGTAGCAACAAAGTATAAGCACCAATTCTAACATGTACAATGCTATCATTTTTTGCTTTCTTTTTTCTTAAATGAATAACACTAAGAAATTAAATAAATAAATAAGTAATCAGACAGCCAAGTTGTGTCGAGTTTACTGGACTTCCACTTATAACACATTTTTTGAAAGTAAATGATACATAACCTATCTATATTTTAAAGAAATTAATTTTCGACCTCAAACTTATATTTTATTATTCAAATGAAGCATTTGCCCATCTCTCCGATGTGTAATTCCGACAAAACAGAACAAAAAACAAAAGAAACTAGAGAAAAAAGTGAATGAGTTTTGTAATAGCCTTAATAGAGAAAAAAATGAATGAGAAAAAAAAAAGTGATTTTTTTACCTCGACTAATCTCCTCTCTCTCTCTGATCTAGCCAAAACATAGATCATTCATGTCGGAATTACAGTATTCATGAAAAATTTATAAATATTGACGAAACTCACTCATTCAATAATGCTAACTCATTTTAGATTTAATTAGCCATACATTTTAAAACTTGGATCAAATTCAGGGGGAACTACAACAATATTTTCACTTACTTTAATGTCTATAATGTATTTAGTCATAATAATCAATTCGACTACGATCAATGATGGATCTAGGGAAGGTGACATCACCTCCCGAAAAATTTTATAGTTTTGAATTTTAAGGAATAGTGATAGTAGAGACGAATTGTAAATTCAGACGTTCTGAATTCAAATCGTGATAACTCATTAAGGTCAAACCACAAGAGATTTGCCCTTCATAAATATTTTAATTTCGGTGTGAATAGTCTTTTTGACTGGATTGAAAAAAAAATTAATCGAGATACTCATAAATTGGTTCAGACATATAATATTTTTTAATTTTACAATTGTTCTCATAAAATATTCTAAAATTATACTAGTTGGTAACTCCTATTCTTCAAAATCTTAAAAAGTCATCCCTAAACAATTGTTAAATCTATACCCAAATAACCCATCCTAGGCGCACACAAATGAGTTGGATTTGTACATGATGAGGACTTGACGGGACAGAACTACCCCTAACAGGACAGGTTCATGTTGCCCGAATTTATCCATTTATGCAGCATCCAATCAATCTAAAATTAGGCATGGCCCAGGCCCTCCATTGTCGCTTTCCCGAATCATGTAGGATAAACCCACAAGATATCCTAAGCTTTCTGAGCAGTGATTCACCCAATCTTTCACATGTCCATCGGACACCTTTGTTTCCTTTATTTTCCTTCTCCTGATCATCATCCTAATTGCTTGTCTTTTTTTATAAACGATCACAAGATACATACAATTAGTCATACCTATATATATATCCAGTAAATCTAAATTTTATGGGATCAGTCAAATTCGAATTAAAGATATATGAGTTTACGTGTTAATCTTGTTCGATGATTAAACCAAATGGTACAAATTATTCGTCAAACACCTTTGACCCTAGTGACAACCAATAATGCTATGTGTATCAAATTTGTACACCTAAAGTATGCACCAAATCATTGTCGATCGTTGGATGATAGTGGAAAGGCTAACAATGATTTGGTGCATACTTTTAGTATACATAAAATTATTCAATCACAACACCTTCACCAATTTGAT